TACATGCAAACAAAAATACAAATACAACTTACCAGAATCTGTGGGATGTGATGAAAGCTGCCCTCAGAGGAAAGTTTATTGCACTGAGTTCCCACATCAGGAAAACAGAACAAATACAAATAAACAACTGGATGCTACATCTCAGATATCTAGAAAAAGAAGAGCAAGTCAAGCCCAAAGCCAAAAGAAGAGAGGAAATTATAAAAATCAGAGCAGAAATCAATGCAATAGAGACTAAGAAATAAATCCAAAGAATCATTGAATCAAAGAGTTGTCCTTCGAAAGAATAAATAAAATCGATAAGCCCCTAGCCAACCTTATTTTAAAAAGGGAAGAAAAAGCTCAAATTCATGCAATAAGGAATGAAAAAGGTGAAATCACTACTCTGTAGACTCTGTAGAAATACAGATCATCAACACCTATTTCAAAAACCTCAACTCTCATCGGTTCAATAACACAGAAGAAATGGACAGATTCATAGAAACATGAAGTACCAAAGCTGGGTCAAGAAGCTGTAAAACTGCTGAATACCCCAATTTCTATTAATGAAATTGAAAATGTAATTAAGTCCTTACCTACAAAGAAGAGCCCAGGCCCAGATGGATTCACTGTGGAATTCTACAAGAAATACAAAGAACACTTACTGCCGACATTCCTCAAACTCTTCATTGAAATCGAAAGTGAAGCAATTATTCCTAAGTCATTGCTGGAAGCAAATATTACTCTAGTACCAAAACCTGAGAAAGACCCAACTAAAATAGACAACTACAAGCCAATCTCCATAATGAACACAGATGCAAAAATCCTCAATAAAATATTGGCAAATAGGATGCAGCAAATCATCAAGAAGATTATACACCATGACCAAGTGGGATTCATCCCAGGCATGCAGGGATGGTTCAACATATGTAAATCAATAAATGTAATCCACCATATAAATAGAGCCAAAAGTAAGAATCACATGATCATTTCTATAGATACAGAAAAAGCTTTTGATAAGGTCCAACACTTACTCATAATAAGAACCTTACAGAAAATTGGAATACATAGTCTTTACCTCAATATGATAAAGGCCAGCTATGACAAACCATCAGCCAGCATCATATTAAGTGGCCAAAAACTGAAGGCCTTTACCTTAAAATCAGGCACAAGACAAGGATGTCCCTTATCACCACTCCTATTCAACAAGGTACTGGAAATACTAGTCAGAGCAATAAGAAAAGAGAGACAAATAAAAGAGGTAAAGATAGGAAAAGAGGAAGTTAAATTGTCGTTGTTCGCAGATGACATGATACTCTACATAGAAGATCCCCAAAACTCCATTGAAATACTCCTAGATATAATAAATAAATTCAGCAATGTAGCTGGATACAAAACCAATACCCAAATATCAATAACATTTCTATACACTAACAACAAAATCACTGAGAGAGAAATAAAAGAAGTCACACCCTTCACACTAGCATACAAAAAAATGAAATACTTAGGAATTAATCTCACAAAAGTAGTAAAAGATCTCTTCAGGGAAAATTATAATACCCTCAAACAAGAAATTGAAGAGGATCTCAGAAAATGGAAAGACATCCCTTGTTCATGCAACCCAATGAAAATACCATCAATGTACCTCATAGATCTAGAGAAATCACTCCTAAAATTCATCTGGAACCAGAAGAGACCTAGAATAGCAAAGGCATTTCTAAGCAGCAAAGGCAAGGCTGGAGGCATCACATTCCCTGACTTGAAGTTGTACTACAAAGCTACTATAATAAAATCAACATAACACTGGAATAAAAACAGATCTGAAGATCAGTGGAATAGATTAGAAGATATAACCACAACTACAAACACACTCAACCACCTTATCTTTGATAAAGGGGCCAAACATGTTCACTGGAAGAACGACAGTCACTTTAGTAAATGGTGCTGGAAAAACTGGCTCTCCACATGCCGAGAACTAAAACTAGACCCATGCCTATAACCATATACTAAACTAAAATCTAAATGGATCAAAGATATGAATATTTAAACAGAAACACTAAATCTATTGGAAGGCAAATTAGGTAAAAATCTTGAAGACATAGGGTAGGTAAAGAATTCATGAACAAGGATCAAACCGCACAGGAAATACTTCCCAGAATCAATAACTGGGATCACATCTTATTAAAAAGGTTCTGCATGTCGAAAGAAATCTCCAGCACAGTGAAAAGAAAACCCACAAACTGGGAAAAAATCTTAGTGAACTGTTCCTCAGACAAAGGACATCTGCCTAAAACGTATACAGAATTTTAAAAAATCAGACCCCTGAAATTTAAAGACTCAATTGAAAAATGGGCATCTGAGATAAATACACACTTCTCAGATGAAAAATACAAATAAATACATGAAAAAATGTTCATCATCATTGGTCATTAGAGAAATGCAAATTAAAACCACACTGAGATTCCATCTCATTCCTGAAAGAATGGCCAGGATCAAGAAAACCAACAACAACAAATGCTGGAGAGGCTGTGGGGAAAAAGGAACTCTCCTGACTGTTGGTGGGAGGGTGGGATGGTTCAACCACTGTGGAATCAGTCTGGAAAGTCCTCAGAAACCTGGGATTGGAAGTCCCATTTGTTCTAGCTATTCCACTTCTAGGCATATTCCCAGAAGAACTGAAAATATCATATCACAGTGAAATGTGTGCACCCATGTTTATAGCAGCACAATTTGTAATCGCCAGATCTTGGAAACAACCTAAGTGTCCATCAACTGAGGAATGGATAAAAAAGTTGTGGTTGTTTATACCATGGAGTACTACTCAGCTATAAAGAATGATCATATTGAGATATTTATAAATAAATGGATGCAACTTGAGACCATACTCAAGTAAATGAAAATCACATGTATAAATACCATATAGTCTCCCTAGCATAAGAAATGGTAAGAGTACATAAGAGTTCATGACTCCCCATTACATTGCTTTGAAGCCTTATAGTTGGAATGGTTTTACCTGGTTTATTTGATTTTATTATCTGTGATGGTATGAACAGCTATTTTGAAGAAAACAAGACATTAGAATAGCCAGTGGCAATTTAATATCTTACTCTGAAGTCCTACTATGCTTTTGGTCTTCTGTTTCCTTTGGTTCTATTATGTTATATCTTATTGGATATTATTATGTGTGATAGTATAAACAGATTTTCTATGGAAAATGAGATAATGTAGTAGGCATTGTTCCTTCTCTGTTATTTGGTTCTGAAAGCCCTGTAATGCTTTCATTCTCTTGAATGTTTTTATACTGTTTTGTTATGCTTGATACTATTGTATATGAAGTTATGCTCAACTATTTCAAAGAAAGAGACATTATAATAGTTACTGTTAATTATGGTTTGTCTTGTGGTAAAATGCTGTGTTGCTTGCATTGTTCTGATCTGATCTGCTTTGTTATGCCCTATTTTATCTTAATCTCTTTAAAATTAAAAAAAGCATAGTGGAAGGAAGAACCCAACACTCAAGGAGGCTGAGGCAGGAGGATCACCATATGTTCCAGGCCAGCCTGAGTTATATAAGCAAGTTTAAGGCCAGCCTACACTACACAGTATGACCCTGTCTCAAGGCCTACCCCCCTCTCCCAAAACTCATGTTGGAAAGGGCACTTAAAAAAACAAAAACAGAATCTTTTAGGGAAAACTGGTTTTTATATCAGGAAGAATAAAAAGAACTATTACTCAGGGCAGGAGCCAGAGTCATCCAAGACAGCCTTCACTAGGTCCGGCTTACCTGAGACCACCTATGTGGAGTCAGTCAACGAATGTCTCTTGCATGCGATGGAGAAGAGAGCCAGGTCGCCCTGGTAGCAAGCCAACCCTGCCTCTGATAGCTGTCACGCAGCAGAAGATATCCGGGCAGCAGGGCTTCGTCCTTAGGGACTTAGGACTGGATCAAGCATGCTTCCTTGGGGTTCTTTCTAACTGAAGTCCTCAGAGACCCAAGCTGTCACCTTCACAGTCTAACTGACAACCACCTGGGGGTTTATAAAACATCAGATTAAATCCTAAGAGTGTGTGTGGATGCACACCCTCAACTGTCCACAGCATCACTGCCATTAATGGTGCCTCTGTTCTCCTGCAACACAGTGAAAATCAGGACGTTGACTTTGAATCCCCTTTTTCCATACCCACATTATCCTAGCAGTCACCAATGCTGGCATCATGACTCTGTGATATTTTGGGGGTTTATCCCTCATCCCCCCCTTTCTCATTGTTCGTTTAGACTCACTGTACCTTGAGAATATTGCAAGATGATATTAATCAGTCTTGCTGCCTCCTCTCCCTAAAGCACTCACTGTCACCAGAACAACAGTTGTCTCCTCTTATATTCATTCTATCACCCTCCTTACCACTTTCTAATTAAGTGAACTTGAACAGGTTAACGTCTTTGAGTTTTAGTATCCTCATCATAAATTAGGCGTAACGGGAGACTCACCTCACGGGATTTGTTTTAAGGAGTCACTGAGTTAATTTCAGCACAGAAGCTCATCATCCTGTTGGCACATGGGAAGTCAGTATGTTTGGTTGCTATAAATTATGCACAACTATATACATTATAACCAGGAGTCTAAATCATTAAATTTTAAATAGCGGTTTTCAAAGTGTGGTGCCAGATCCTTCAGCGCCCCTGAGACCTGTTAAGGGACACAGAATCCGTGAAGTCAATGATATATTTTTAATAATACTAAAATGTTATTTGCCTTTTTCAGTCTGATTTTACAACGCATGGTTGTTTGTTGTTAGTTTGTCTTTTTTGAAACAACGTTTTACTATTCAGTTCAAGCTGGCCTTGAACTCACTTTCTGTAGCCCTCACAGTGATCCACCTGCCTCAGTCTCCCAAGTGCTGCCTCAGGCCGGTGGTTTATCTCAACAGTGTAATGACTTCTTATGCATATATAGTTAAAGACAGAATCATTTTGCTTTCAGTGACTAATTCTGACTTCTAAACGCATATTATTTTCTGCAGCAAGGTCGTGGAGGAACTTGTGAAGACTGGGATAGAAGGGATTAAGGCGCACAAGATGAACATGGAACAGTTAATAAAGGCAAAGGAGCATGAAATGAATGCTTACTACGGCGTAGCTCAGAGACAGACGCAGAAAGAGGTCCAGCAGGTACTTCAAGAGACAGAGAAGACGCATCAGGCCTCTCTGGGCAATGTGATGAGTAAACTGGTCAACACCCAGGGGGAGCTGCTGTCCATAGCGGAGCAACTGGGAATCATGACAAACTGGAAAGACTTTCTGGAGGAGGAATTACAGGAAACCAGAGCAGCATTTCAAAAATACATCAATTATACTTTTCCTAAGCTTTCACCAGGGCAGGCCGATTTTATTCTGCCAGAAAGAAAGAGAATGCCTTCTCATCTGGTTACGAAGCATAAAACAGTTCCAGAGCAGAAATCTTCACCTGAAAATGTCTCTACAAAAGAGAAAACATTCAAAGGCTGAATAAATTTATTCAAAATCATTCTCTGATCTCCAATATTATGCAGGTTATTATACGCAATGAAAATATTTTGATGGAAAACCAAAATACTGAAAAGCACATTCCAGGTTACAGAAGAAGAATCGTACTGATTAGGTGGGAAAAAAGATTCTTGGAGAAAATCCAAACACCCGTCCTTACCTGGCTATATTAATTTCAGCATCAAATATAGTTGTTTTAGTGTCTTCCACAGTTAGAATTAAATAAAGGCCGTGTTCTCAGATCATTCCCACTGCAAACAGGTGTACAAGTTCCAGTACAGAGGAACTATTGGTAAAGCGCAGTAACATTTTTAAAAGAATTTCCCTCATATTCAGTAAGACAAAAATTTAAATTCTAAGAGCCCTATATAAATCAATTCAAAAAAGACCTTTATTTTCCAGTTGTGAAGGAAAATTTTGTCTCTAGAAATCAGGTGGTCTGCCTCTGGGATCAGAGTCCTTTGTGTTTATACCCAAACCTAGAAGTGTGTGGCACTCATTTTTTGTTGGTCAAAATGCAGAAAACTTTAAGAACCAAAGTGCTTTGGATCAGTACAGGACAACACTTACTACATTAAAAAGAAAAAACACCCAAGCCGTTAAGTCTTCTCCAAAAATCTATCCAGTATAGAGTAACGTCTTTATTCACAAACCTATGTTGATTGCTTAAGGATTAAAAACTTGGAAAGCAGCTTTATTAAGTAAATGAAAAAGTGCTATTCCTAAGCAAGCTATAAGTGGATTTGTCTGTTGACTAATGTTGGGTTTCTTAGTTTGTAATTAAGGAAAAACTTATTTAGGAAGGCATGATAGACTCCTCTTTGGTATTTAGCTTCATGACACTTCATACTGTCTGGTGAAGGGCTTAATTTTTCATGTGAGTTGTCCTTGAAACAATCTTTAAGATAGGACAGAGATTAATATCCTATTTTACAGATGATTAAAAACCATCATGTACTAAAATATTTACATTAGTCACTTTAAACACATTATTCCTCACAGTGACTTGAAAGTAACCACTGCTCCCAATGGCAATAAAAGAAAAAACAAGGCTCACAGAGATGAAATAACTCCCCTTAGTACCCACAGCTCATAAGAACCAGAAATCACATTATTCCAAGGTTCAGGCAGACAGATGAAGTTTCAAGATTTTTCAGTATTCAGTAGACAGAGACAGCAGCTAACAGCACACTGAGCATATTATTTACATCAATGCCTTCATTTTCGTAGTAATCTTTTAAGGTAGGAACATGTAACAGACATTTTAAAATAGAATCTGGCTACGGACAGTTACATCACTTATAACCTTCTCAAAGTCACACAGCTAATTAGGTTCAAAGCCCAGTTCAAACTGTAAGGATGTAGCTCTCAGGCCTGTGATATTATTAGCTATCATTCTGTTGATCCTGTACACTGGGGCCTTAGTATTGATCTACATGTGTGCACTGTGAGAACTGCCAAGAATGTGGTTTGTCCTTTGTATCATGCATCATGTTTTTCTCATCTAAAGGTAAAAGGGAATTGTACCTATTTACTGCTGTATATCATTTGTTGGATTTAATACTATTGAGAAGCAGAGGGGAAAGATCCACAAAACAGATCTACTTTCTGACTGTAAAGTACTGTATCTCCTTTGGCATGTGTGACAAGTGAATCATAGTCCAGTCACTATCCCAACTTTGGTAGTTGATTGATTGTGTCAACTTGAGTAAGTAACCCCCAACTAAATTGTTTTGTTTTTTGTACCAGGGATTGAACTCATGACCTCATGCTTGCGAGGCGAGCGCTTACGCCACTGAGCTAAATCCCCAGCACCCCCTGCCCCCCAACTATATTGACTCAGCATAGTTCTGGGTATGGAAGCCTCACCCTAGGGAGGATTATCACCAGAATGCTAAAATACGGAAACAAGGAAGGGTCACTTCAGTCTTGATGAGGTCCAGTCTCCATGTTCACCTTGGACATTATCTCCTGACCTCCAGCACAGACTCTTCAGCTTCCGGCACTGACCTTTCAGCCTTCTGAGATGGAATTGTACAGGACACTACGCTGAGCTCCAGACCTTTAACTGGATCCTTTGGATCCCCAGTGCCCATTCAGACCTTTTGTACCCTTTCACACCTGACTCTGTGGGCCAGTATCTTGTATTATGTTTCTCTAGTAAGCACTGACTGACACTAATTAACTCCATTTGGTTTCTTTCAGATTATATTTGTCTGTTTAGCTTTTTCTTCTGAGCCATTCTCTCCCGTCCTCTTTGATTCCAGCAGTGATGGGTCTGATCAATAGACATCTGTAATGACAAGGACCTGAAGCTACCTCAAGTGAAGGTAAGCCACACAGGTCCCCCTTAAGGGAGAGCAATTACCCCGTGATGAGAACCGGGGGCTGCCCACCCCTCCAGGCAGGAGCTGTTCTTCTCACAGTGGAAACCAGATTGCCTTCTCACTCAGTTAGGGCCCTCCCAGGACCTCTGAGATACCCGTCCACCAGACCACTGTTTAACCAGGATAACTTACTGCCGTGGTAGTAATGCCGTATACAGCCCCAACCTTGCCTTTGTTTTCCTTCTCTGCTAAACCCTGAAGCTTTGTCAGCCCCTAGAAAACAGTTCTTGAATCCCTTTATCTGTTTTTCCAGTCTGGCCACCCTGATCAAAGTTCTTTTTCTGCCCTTCATCATTGCTCTGCTCCTTGAGTGGTATGTTAGGACGCACCTGGTCTTTTGGAACTCCCAAGAACTCAGACACTTGCCCTAAAGCCCTGGTAACATGAAAAGACAGCTAGAAATTTATGACTCATTTGTGAAAAAGGAACTAGCTTCATTTTCAACCCAATTGGAGGAAATTAACATGGTACTTTGTTTCTAATATTTTCCTGTTTATACCCTATCCCCTGCTCCTCAAATCCTAATCAACAGTTTCCCAAGTGTTTTTTAAAATAATTTGTATGCTTCTGAGAAAGGAAGCATTAAAGATGTTGTTATTGTACCGATTCCTGAGGCCTGGCTCTGCCAGCCAGAGGACTCCCCTGCCCCTCGTACATGCCACAGTGCTGAATGCCTTTTGTCACCGTGAGGCAGGAAGTGCAGGGCGTGGCTAAGACTGGCTGGGAAAGTAGGTGTGATCTGTTGATTGCAAAATCCCAGGACACATGTGCACGTGGACTTCTCACAAGAACTCAAGTTTTGATAGTATTACCTGGACAAGGTGGGATATAAAAAGGGCCAGTTGCTATTACGTGCTGACATGTCTTCCCAATGACCCACCCTATCCTGTAGAGTATATTGATTTTTTTTCCTTTTTTTCCTTTTACTTGGCCCAAACTCACTCTGCAGAGCCTGTTTTTTCCTACTTTTAATAAATATGGAACTGTCCTCATTTATGCTTGTTTGACCAACTACAAATCACTTTTAGGAGACTCCAGAGTGGTCACAAGTGATTCTATCAGGATAGATCAACCGGACCCCACTCTCTATTGGCCACTTACTATCTGGAATCACCAGTAACATACAGAGGGGAAGGTCTGTTCCAATTCTCTTGTTCTCTCATCTTTATCTTTCCCAGGGCCAAACTGAAAGATCATTTTGTTCTTGCCCAAATCCTTCACCTTGATTGAATCACCTCAGTCCACAGTTCTCCTTAGCTTGATATCTTGAGAATTAAAGTTCAAAGTGTATGAATAGTTTGCCATCAAAAGAAAAAATACCAGGTGTCTCAGCATTGTCGTCCTGTGGTTCTGATAAGGATGATCTTGACGAATAAAGGAAAAAATAGTGGAAAACATAGCAATGACAGTGTGTCAAACACCCACTGTGTCTATACAGCAGGCTCCATAATCTTCTTTGTCTTATTGAAGTTCACAGCCACCCTACTATTGTTCTCGGTTTGGAACTGAGGAAAATGAGATTTGGAAAGGTAAAAGTCATGTGTGTCCACAACAGCTTATCAGCCTGCTTTAGTGTCTAAATATTGAGCAGGCATCAGTGATACACAGCTTTCAAAATATATTGGCACCACAGCAGGGAAATTCTGAATTGTGCAGAGCCCTGACCCTTCTGGTGAACAGGGCTGGGTACCAAGAATGAGAGAGACTGAACTCGACACCTTCCCCGTGCAAGTACATGAACTCTCCTAAGTGAGCCTGAGAGATTACTGTATGGAGGGATAAACCCTCATCTCCATTCTAACATCAAGAAGGACAGACTCCCCCAACAGGATCCAGGACAGAGAGCAGCTGCCTGTAGATCATATGTGAGAACTTCAAAATTAAGTGACAATTTAAAGTGAATACATCTTTGAAATCTCAGTGAGATCTTTACACTAAGGTTTTCTAGTGAAACCTGACTGTGGCTGAGATTAAATCAGGCTATTTTCAAAAAGGATTCCTCAAGTGAACCAATTTTTAGTATAGCTAGACTTTAACAATTACAAATAATTCGCCATTTACTTTGACTACAATGATAGAAGCTATTGTAGACCTTACATAATAAGCTCCTTGTACATGACCATAATTGCAAACTGTTGTGGTTTATATCTAGTTGTCCTCCCAAAAGCTTATGTGATCATAAGTGGGGATGTGGGAGGTGATTAGATCATGGGGTTGTGATACTCAGTGGACTCGTTCACTGATGAGTATATAACTAAATGTGATGTCACTGGAGGTGGCCTGGGTACATCTCCCTCTCTACTCCCCTGAGCTCTCTGGGTCCTGCCTGTCATGACATGCTCTTTTTCCCCTGCCACACACATTTCCCATGTCGCCCTGCCTTGGGGCCAACCATCTATGGACTGAAACCTCTACAGACTGATCCAAAATAAACCTTTCCTCCTCAGAGTTGTGGATGTCAGTTATTGTGTCTTAGTGACTAGAAAGTCACCAAGACAAAAAAGGTTTGGAGACTGACTTTAGAGAGCGCTTGTAGAAGTTCATTTTTCTCATTTGTTTTAGATGCTCCCTATACCACCTGAGTTCTTGAGGCTTCTAAAATTTAGAGGCCATC